TGGCGTGGCGGGGGGCAGTCAGGGGCAAGGGTTCCGGAGGCAGTCAGGGGACAGGGAGAAGGGATGGTTGGATGGGAGATCCCGGGGGGGCAGTCAACTATGGGAGGAGGGGTTGGATGGGGTGGCGGGGGGCAGTCAGGGGCAAGGGTTCCGGAGGCAGTCAGGGGACAGGGAGAAGGGATGGTTGGATGGGAGATCCCGGGGGGGCAGTCAAGGATGAGAGGAGGGGTTGGATGGGGTGGCGGGGGGCAGTCAGGGGCAAGGGTTCCGGAGGCAGTCAGGGGACAGGGAGAAGGGATGGTTGGATGGGAGATCCCGGGGGGGCAGTCAAGGATGAGAGGAGGGGTTGGATGGCGTGGCAGGGGGCAGTCAGGGGCAAGGGTTCCGGAGGCAGTCAGGGGACAGGGAGAAGGGATGGTTGGATGGGAGATCCCGGGGGGGCAGTCAAGAATGAGAGGAGGGGCTGGATGGGCCGGTGGGGGGCAGTCGGGCAGGGGTTCCCGGGGCAGTCAGGGGACAGAGAGAAGGGGTGGTTCGATGGGGCAGAGGTCCTGGGGGGGCGCCCATCAGGAATGAGAGGAGGGGTTGGATGGGGCAGTGGAGGGCAGTCTGGAGCAGGGGTTCCGGGGCGGTCAGGGGACAGGGAGCGGAGGGGGGTGGATGGTCCCGGGGGGCCATCAGGAAATGGGGGGGTTGGATGGGGCAGGAGTCCTGGGGAGGTGGATGGGAGGGGGCGGGCCACAACCCCCTTCCCTAACTGGCCCTCCATACAATTTCCAAAACCCGATGCGGCCCTCGGGCAAAAAAGTTTGTCCGCCCCTGCCCTAAGCCATGATTCATGCAGCCCCCTCTCTGATTAAGGAGAGAAAGAACATTCTTTCCCTGGGAGCTGAATGCACTGCCTCTTTGGCTAGGTCTATACTGCAGGCTCAGTGTAGCTTGAGCTGACATACCCAAGAGAGCTATGTCCCAGAACAATGAAGCTGCAGTGGTGTATGCTTCAGTGCAGACTAGTCCTGTGAGAATCACCCATGGTTCTCTGCTAGCATGGGGAGCAAGGGACCAAGCTTGGGCTGAACTTAGATGAGCTACAACTAGACCACGGGTTAGCTCCAGCCCCTTTCTGCTTGTATCTGTCCCTCCTCTCCTTGGGTTACACCCCCCGTGCCTTCACTTTGTCTTTCACAAGATGATAGGGAAATGTTGGTTTCTGCACAGAATTTGAGTCAGAATGAGTGCTCTTGTGGGTGCTCCTGTCATGGGGACTACAACCCCCCGCCCCCCAGTACTTCTTGCAGCAGATGGGAGAAGAGTGAGAACTGTATAGTGACAGCAACAAGGCCCCTTAGAGAGTCAGGAAAGAGGTAGTGAGGGCAATCAGGCAGGTTTTGAAGAGTGCAAGAAGAACAGTGTTAGGGACTTGAAAGTAACCTAAGAAGAGAAAAAGGAGAGAAGAAAAGCAGAAATCCACAGTCAGGGAAAAAAATAAGAGCAGAGAAAAAAAAAGGAGGCCGTGAACCCAAGAGTAAGAGCACAGCTCTCTCTTGCTAAGCAAGGGAGTAAAGGGTTTGACTTGCTGTCTGGCTTGTATGGTGTTTAAATACAATGATAAAAACTACATATCTTTTACTCCATTGAGCAAATGTTTGCGTGTAAGACAGTTCTGCTGAGGGGTAAAAGTGGGAGGCTGCCAGTACTGAGGTATTTATTGGAGACAACCAGAATCATGCTTCTCAGCTCAGGCCATAGATCTGAATCAAAACATTCCAAATGTTCTGATTTGTTCAGATTTTGTCTGGTTTAGACCCATTATAGAGATGGGCCCATGATGTGGAGTTCAGTCCAACTCCAGATTCAAATTTCCTCAAAACTCAGAGGGTGGGGATTAGCTGCAGGTTTCTACTTTGGGTTCACCTCTAGGATTTTTGTAACATGGGGTGGAGATTCAGGGGGTCATAGTCACGAATACCAGACAATTCCTTGTCATTCGACTCTAATTACAACAGTACCATTATGCATAACAATTTGCCAGGGTTTCTGTTCATATGCATTAAAGGATTTTACAGCACAGTTTTAATATTTGTAAATGTTCATCTTTAGGTTTCAAAAGGGTAAAAGTAGCTACCGAGGGGAGCTAGGTGACCCAGTGGATCAGCGATGGACTATGGAGTCCTTCACCTGCAGCTCACTGCTTCAAAGCTGTTCAATGTGTATAGTAAGTGGCTGAAGTTCATTACCATCTGACAGCTGTTTGGTGGCCTAAGGGACATGAGTTGGTGGTTTAGGCCAGTTCTTATCAGTCAGTTATCCATATCACTTTAAAAAAATAAGTTAATCTCCCATATTGGCACTTCTAGCAGAGCAACAGAGGAATGGTAGGGGATACAGCATTCTGTGGCACTTTGCATATGTTGGCAGCATTTGTGGTATAAACTCAATCTGGGTTTTTAAAATAATTTAATTTTAGATCAAATATTTATTTCTCAAACTCCTGCCTTCCCTTTCTGCGTAAAGCAGGAACTGGGGATTGCTCACTGATGACCAAAGGGCCAGAAGTAAAGCAGACAGCACACAGTGGGTAGATCATAGAAGCCATGCTAGAAAAAATCACTAGTTAGAACAATAATAATCCTCCCCTAGTGCCCTGGTGAGTCAGTATAGGGAAGCAGGCACTGCTGCTGCATGTCCCAGACCTGTTCTATGGGTAGACCAGGGGTCGGCAACGTTCGGCACCCGGCTCGCCAGGGTAAACACCCTGGCGGGCCGGGCCAGTTTTATTTACCTGCTGACGCGGCAGGTTTGGCCGATCGCGGCCCCCACTGGCCGCGGTTCGCCGTCTGGGGCCAATGGGGGCGGCGAGAAGCCACGGCCAGCACATCGCTCGCCCACGCTGCTTCTCGCCGCCCCCATTGGCCTGGGACGGCGAACCGCGGCCAGTGGGGGCCGCGATCGGCCGGACCTGCCGTGTCAGCAGGTAAATAAAACTGGCCCAGCCCGCCAGGGTGCATACCCCGGCGAGCCGCATGCCGAACATTGCCGACTCCTGGGGTAGACAGAGAGGTGAAAATTCCCAATATCCAGCAACTTTCATGAGCCTATATTCACTTGAAAAAAACAATTGAGTTTCACACTGGTTTTGTGCTCTTTTAGTGCAAATATAAATGTGTGCTTTAGATTAGTCTTTTGCTCAATGTAATGAGTCAAAATCCAATGATCAGAGCTGAACAGAAACATACACAACAATAATTTCCACTCAACCCCCCTCCCTCCCCACATTCATTTGGCAGTTCTTGTGCCCTTTTTGTATTTTGACTTTCCACAAATATCCTAACAATTAAAATACAAGAATATTCTCAGAAACAGCATAATTTAAGCAAATGTTAGACTATTCACAGGTAGTAAGTTTGGAATTTGTAAAAATTAGTATTTTTACCAAAAACCTGACTCTAAGAATTACACTCATCCAGTATGTGAACAGAAGCACACCATACAACCAATGAGTCCAATCAGAAATTAAACAAATTTCAAATTTCCAATTCTTGCAACAAATGGCATACAATCTACAGGCCAACAAATATTTGTAGACATTAGCTGATAAATAATTTTGCCTAACAAATACATTAAAGAAAAGAGTATGTTATTCCAGGCAATCTGTGAACAGCAAGAGACTAAAGTCATCAAATAAATTATGCACTCAGCTCTAATGATTATTGTATTATCAAAACAACAAATAGTATAAAATTACCTGTATCTGCTGCAATATATTTTTCAGCTGAACCAAAAATTCTTTAGCTTCCTTTGCTTTATCTGAAACACCATTTAAAGCCTGAGACAACTGTGTCTGTAAGAAACAGAATTTAAAATGAAAAATTAGAGATAAAATGCAAATGAATTACAAAAAAATGCAAATACTAATCCTTACTTCTTACAATTAAATGTTAAAAGGCTTACTTGGCGTCACATGCATTCTTACTTGCACAGAGGATTTGTGCTAGAAAAGAATAAGTTAGGATTTCAATTGTAATAGATTTAGTAAGGGTGAATCTCTGTGTGGGTAGTCAGTTATTGTCTCCATTTTCCAATTAAATGTAATGACTAGCTAAGTCACAACACTTACAAAAGCCTGAAACTGTTCACATATGCATTGAAATGATAGTATCTTACATTTACATAGTGTCTGTCATGCTGAAAAATCCCCAAATGATATCTAAACTAGCAATTTCTTAACTCTAAACCTGAAATTTTTACAAACTTTGTAGTGTCAGCTACAGTTAAAATATATTAGAACTTTCATTACAAAGCCCTGTTTGTATAGTCTTTTAACACTGTGTAAAAATTTCTTTTGGGGCTGAAAGCATTCATTCTTCAACTTAACCCAGAGGTGAATATTTCTGGAAGAATTCTTTTACTCATTTTGAGTTACGAGAGGGTGAAAAAAATATGTACTTTCACTATTGTATGACAACTTTAAGATAATGTTTTGTTTATGAATAATTTAAACGGGTGAATTTTACATGATATTTGAACTAAAATTCTAGCCACAAGACTAAGCAACGTTAACTCCACCCCTTTGTGAGTATGTACTACAATTATCTTTACATGACCACATATTATTCCTCAGAGCATAAAACATGGCATTTGATAACCTTGTATTTAGCTGTGATACTCTGAACACCTTTCCCAGAGCTGAGGAAGAGCTCTCTGTAAGGTCGAAAGCTTGTCTCTTTCACCAGCAGAAATTGGTCCAATAAAAGATATTATCTCACCCATCTTGTTTACTTGATAACAACCTTAGACACGTGCAGTATCTTACATCAATATAGTTGTGTAACACACACAAAAGTGCATTAAATTATTTCTCTGAAAAGTACACATGAAGGCCCTGGTCCTGTAATTGCATCCATGGAAGCAGACCCTTGCCCCTGCATAGAGCTTCAATGACCTTTGCCCCTTCATAGATAAGATTGCATGATCAGACTCTGGAGTATATTTAACCAACATACTACAGATGCAGAATAGCAAAACTGTCTAATTGTCAACAGCACTATGTTTTGTGTTATGTTATGGCTGATGTAACCTCAGGAACTCTTTCAATACTATATCAACCAGCAGTGCTTCATTAAAACAGCTTGTGGAAAATATACTATGAGCCAGATCCTCTGCTGCTGTTAATTGACGTAGCTGCATTGAAGCAAATGGAGCTATGCCAATTTACACTAGCTTAAGATCTTGCCATTGGTCTCTTACTACAATGTTAGCACTTAGGCCCAGATCCACAAAGGTATTTAGGTATTCTCTCGCTCTCTCTTTCTACCTCAGTAACTGTTTAAATATTTATCTACAGTAAAATGGTAGATTACTCCAAAATCTTAGGTGCCGAGTGAATTCAGGGACCTACAGAGTTTGGCAGGAGTTTTGTGGCTTGCAGTGGAGCTAGAACTGGGACTTAAATACCTAACTTTGTTGTTTAGGCACCTACGTACCTTTGTAGATATGAGTCAAAGTTACCATTTATTCTCTGCTTGCTCCTGAGGGGAAGTGATTTACAGCTACCCTGACAAGGGCACAGCACACTTCCCCCTTGTGCCAGTTCCACTCTACCCATCCTCTGCCCCTCCTTCCCTATGCACATGGTCAACTGGGAGAGGGAAGACATTGGGTGCGCTGCTCCTTCTGCTCTATTTCCTATGCTTTGACCGATGAGGTAGGAAGCTCTAACACAACCACAGGAGGGTCTTACTTTAGGGAGCCACATTAGGGGTAGGCACAAATTGGCCTACAATGGGACATAGCATTGAAGGCTTAAGGAAGAATCAACCCTAATGTTTACCCTTCTGTTCATGGAAATGTTCCATATTAAGCCCAATTACATGTATTGTACTGGTACCAAATTTGAAAATAGAATATCCTCTACTACAATTAACTTGTAACTAATCTAATAGGAAGAACAGGAGTACTTGTGGCACCTTAGAGACTAACAAATTTGTTAGTCTCTAAGGTGCCACAAGTACTCCTGTTCTTCTTTTTGCGGATACAGACTAACACGGCTGCTACTCTGTAATCTAATAGGAAGAGCTATAATAATTATATTATTGCTGTCAGTACTTATGTATGTGTTTTTTCCTACTCAAATTCTTGGCATTTCACAAAATTTGAAGTAACAATGTCTGGTCCAAAAATTTACCAGGCTCATTGGGCCAAATCCTTATCCCTTGATAAGGTCCCTGTGTGCCACCAAAGCATCACAAAGGGGCTGGTGAAGATTCCCCCAGTTCTACATTCCTTTTGGTCACGTGCCTGTATCTCACCAACAGGACATATTTTTGCCAGCACCAGGTGGGAATGTGATGGAATGGTGTAACAAAGTAAAGAGAGAGCGGGGCTGGAGTGTGATGTGCTCTGCTAATCAGTGGCTAGTGGACTGGTCCCAACAGGACAGGTGTGCCTCAGCCACAAAACAAAGGCGACTATAGTTAGTCCATGACAAAAATATAATTGCCACCACTCCAACATCTAATCCCATCCCCAACATCAGAGCACAGTGCATCCCACAATATGGATGGGGCCAAAAACTGGGGATTGTCCCCTAGTTATCATGGCAGCCATTAAATTCTGAGTCAATCCAGAGCAATCATCAACTACATGGATATTAATGTAACTGAGCACATTCAGTCTCAGCTCCTCATATATAGCCACCATGAAGAAGACCCTGTACATAAACTTGATAAAGAAATTGATCAAATAACTTGACCAAACTTTTTCACTCATTAAATAATTGTAGTTGTGCTACTGCAAGTAGAATATGAAAGCCAGTTTTCTGATCACTAAACCCATTTAGAGATAATAGCCTTGTTTATTAAAACATTTATAGGGTGGTTTTTAAAGCAAATGGATTTAGCCATGTACTTTCCATTAAAACAAAATGGATTCAGATGCCTAAAACCTCCATAAGCCACTATAAAATGCACCCTGTACACTCAGAGCTCTCTTTCAAATGGTGGAAGGATTTGCTTGAAGCTGAACTGCAAGTTACAAGCTCCATTAACCATGACAATTAATTATTCCTGACAAATGTTGTTCTATCCACATTGATCTTAATTTTAATATCTGGGTCCAGCAATGAAATAAGGATTCTGTAGATGGGTAAAAAGGTTATACTCTTATAAAATACAGTAACAGACAGATAACAAGGAGGACAAGTAATCAAATCTAGCTAGGCATAGAAGACTGATGTCTTCCCTGATTTTAGAAAATGAGACAGATAATTCTATCATTCTTTTTCAAAAGAAGAGTTCATTGCTCATTTACCTTTCTTTTTCTCCATCTATCATCATAGCAGATTAACTACTGATTACATCATATGATCCAGGCTCTGAATTCTTAAAGAGCTTCCAAGTTTCTGGGAATGGAGGGTAGGCAGGGCTGGCGCAACCCATTAGGCGACCTAGGCAGTTGCCTAGGGCGCTACAATTTGGGGGGTGGTAACCGCAGCGGTATTTCGGCGGCGGGACCTTCCGCTGCCTCTGTGGGGGGGGGGGGCGGCATTTCGGAGCAGGACCTTCCGTCGCCTAGGGTGGCAGAAAAGCTGGCGGCGCTCCTGAGGGTAGGGGTTTGGGGCAATTCTGGTCTACCTTCTAAAGATGCATCCTTACTCCAATATTTTCCCTCAACTACTTGCTCATCTCCCTATGCATCAATGTCCTAAACAAACACCTGTCCAATTAAAGTTCCTGATGTCGGCTCTACTACAAGATCACACATGCACAATAGTTATATTTTTGATCTACATGGCAGGACTCAACAGAAGTTGCAGAACTGAGACTTGTTCACCATGCTTCCTCATACCTGTGAGTCAAAGGGCCCACAAATTTAAATCTATCATCAGTAATATTATTAATATTTTTGTATTACAGTAGAGCCTAGAGATCCCAAATGTGATCATGGCTCCATCATACTAGGTGCTGTACATACACAAAGTACAATATCCTTCCCTCCAACAATAGGAGAACACAATTTTGATCAATCCCTTTAAAGCCCTCCCACCAGAACCTCAGCTGATATAAATCAATGAGCCTCCACTGATTTATACCAACTCAGGAGCTGGCTCTGTGTTCATATATTACATAATTTCTAACTTCTCCAAAATAATTTACTTATGGCAGATTCCTATATATATATTTAGGGGAAAGTATCTTTATTAAACTAATATGTCTACAAAATGCTCATGGCGGATGAGCTAGACTATCTAGCAATAACATGTACAAACAATTAAATTTGCCATATAATTCTAAATACAATACTTTAATTTATGGTTGGCCAAAATTACAGGACCCAGGAGGCAGTAAGTGTAAATTACTGCATCTGAAAACTTACTTAGGTCCAACTACAAATATTCAATTCCAAAATCCAACTATCTGAAAATAAACATGAAATGAGGGGTTAGACTGGCTCCTGTTGGCAGTTTCAATATTTTTATTTCCTGCCAAGTATATTGTTCTAGGATAATTAAAACTTACAAGACATGAAAAGATTACTACTGTCACAAAAATTAGTTAATTTTAGGTTATTTTACTGTTCCCTTTAGAACGTTTATCATAACATTCAAACTATATATAACAAGGGAAAATCACATTCTGTGAGAACACACTCTCAGGAGGAAAAATGCAGTGAAAACACAAAACAACAGAATTTAGTTCATTCCTCTGACAAAGTTTGTAAGAATGAAAAATGATTTACAATGTATCTTGATCAGCACCACAGTTTATCACACCATTTCAAAAGGCGTTAATCAGTTGTAACACAAGTAGACCCTAGTTGAACACAAACTGGCTTCACAATCTACAAAACACTAACCACTTCTGCATATTGAAATCAATCATTGTTCATCAGGGGTTCAGTAGACTCCCTAATGAAGACTTTCCACCCAAAATCAGATTCTGCAATTAGCATAAATGGCAAAAGCTGTGAATTCATGACCTGAAGCTTATGAGTCAAGTGAATTTAACTCCTGAACACAAAAAAATCAAGTTATTCAGGAGATGGTTTAATGGTCTAAGTAAGTCCTTAGCTGGAAATACCTTAACTCTGTTGAAACACAAATTGAAGTACTATCAGGGCTGATTCACTCATGCATTCTTCTGATCAATAAACAGAGTTCTGTACAGCTGATGCCATGTGGGATCTTTTCATGAGTCTTTACAAATTGAAGCCCTGTGTGTTCTACGTCAGCATTACTGTGTGGGGAGCCAGGGATCAGGGCACAAGAAGTGATCCATTTTTTACCCCTATGCAGTAGCCAAAAATGATCACAGACCCTCTCATTACCCCCCAAAGGTGCTAATTATACCAAAGGGAATAGGGAGGAGGCAAGCCTTTCCTCTGCAGTAGCCAACAGAAGGAAGCAAGCTGCCCCACCTGAAGGAATGTGGCAGTTGGGTGCTCTCCCTTCATGAGGGAGGGACCCTCCTCAGTGCTGCTGTATGGATAATTGTAATGTGCTGAGGATGACAAGCACTCTATACATGTAAAATATTAATCATTAATTCTTAATCGAGTCAGTGTCCAGGCTTCCTGGCAAGACTGACAAGCTTCAAATCAATTTTAAAATAATCATCTCTTGGTCTCTATCCAAAAAGTATATGAAACAACGCCAGCTTTTTATATAAGAAGATTGCATGACCAGCAGCTCCATCTTGCACACAAATATCAGCAAACCCCCTCTTATGTGAAAGTACTACCTCCCAAAGCCTCCAGACAAGTTCCCTGAATGGTTCAAATTATAATGAGTACCAATACTAGGGATGAGTGAACCAGACTGTAGCAATCTCTGAACTGGCCAAGCCTTCCTTAACCAAACACTACCATCACTAGTTTTTGGATTAATGTGGATAAGACCCTCACCTTCTCCATCCTTAACTACCATCATTACTGTGGATCGCAGCCACCACACAACCCTCTAAAAGGCGCGAGCATGACTTGCAAATAAACCTCTACACACCTTCTCTCTGCAGCCCTCCAGTGGGTCCCAAGCAACCTTCCGTCACTGACACGTTTATAGCAAAGTGACAGATAAAGATGCTATGGAAGGCCCAACAACTGTCTGCCTCTCTAATTTCATTTGGATTGGGAAGAAACCGGATTTGGTTTGAGATTTGGAAGTCGAGAAGTTACGGCCTAATACAAGATCACAGAGAGGGAGCATTTGAGTTATTGGAAGGTCATGAGAAGTGAACATGCTGCCCAGGGTCTAATGGAGGGTCAACAAGAAGGGAGGAAGGACCAGGGGCCTATTGGAGAGTTGCGGGAAGGGAAAGGAGAGCTGAAGGCTATCAGAGAATTATGGAAATGAAGTAGCCTCAATGTTCAGATAAACATCAAGACACTAGGGCGTGTCACCCAGAATCGCCCTCTTATCTCACCCCCCTCAACAAGAACTGTCACTGACAAAGAATACTTCTTCCTCATTGTGGGGCTAGATCCTTGGCCCCATTAAAGATACATTGTGTTACTCTGGTGGCATGAAGTGACTGTACGGCTGCCCTGAAGGGGTAACAGAATTGCTCCAATACAGGGGAATCTTGGGTGGGGTATATCTGGTGTAGCCAGCTTTATATCAGCCCCCCCACATCCCTTGCACAGAAGGTGTGTTGGGGCTGGCTGGAGTTGGGAGGAGACATTCTGGGAATGTCTCAGGGGTGTGCTGGAGGCTTTCCAGGACCAACGTTGTGTAGGGGACTCTTCTAGACAGCATAAATTGCAGCAGTCCTGGGGCTGCTCTAATTTGAGCAAAGGGCCAGTTCAACCCCCTGCCTGCTCCAGGAATGGGGGAGGAGTAAAGGTAGCTGAGAGCCACCTTTGTCTCCTCCCACCTCAGCATGATCTTGGCGCAGAGGAGGGTTGCAAAAGCCAAAACAGAGCCCCAGTCTGTGGAAAGTGCTTGGAGGTCCCGAGCTGGAGGCAGGGCCCGCTCCAGGCACCAGCCTACCAAGCATGTGCTTGGGGCGGCACCTGGAGTGGGGCTGCCCTCCCCCGGCCCTCCCCTGCTGGGGAGAGCAGGCGGCTGCCGGCTCGGGCCCTCCCCTGCCACACTCCCCGCCAGGGGGCGACAAGAGGCTTTTTTGCCTGGGGCAGCAAAAAAGCCAGAGCCGGCCCTGGCTGGAGGGCACTGGAGAAGAGGTGAGTGGAGCTAATGATCAGAGACCTCCCCCCTGGCTATGAAGGCAGGGCCGTGCTGCTTGGGTCAGGGGTGCATCCCTACGCCCCTGGGCTTACCTTGTGCTGTTTCCACATAGCCCCTAGGGCTTTCACCTCGTGCTGGCCGTGCTTGCCCTCCTCCAGGCACTGGTAGCAGACGGGGGTGCCGCAGCTCACGCAGTACATGCTGTAGTTCTCCAGCTCGTGATCGGCGCAGGTGGGCAACTTGCGGGCGCCCCCCGCCGCCTTGCCGGGCCCGCCCGGGAGGCTGGGCGGGGGCAGCAGGCGGTGCTTGGCGAAGGGCCCCCGGGTCGGGTGGCACTTGAGCTGGCAGGCGGCGCAGTACAGCACCTCGCACTGCTCGCACGCCACGGTGGCCGCCTCGGGCGGGCTGCGGTCGCAGAGCTGGCACTTGGCGGCGGCCCGGCCTTGCTGGTAGCGCTGCACTATGGCCTCCAGCAGCCGGTTGCGCGGGAAGCCGCGGAGGCCGCGCGGGTCCAGGGAGGCGCTGCGGTGGCATTGCGGGCAGGTGAGGGACGAGCTGGGGCCCGCCCCGCGGGGAAGAGCCGCCGAGGAGGAGCCGGCCGGGGCCGGCCCCAGCGGCAGCACCCGCACCCCGTTGGGGGACTTGAGGCTGGGGGTGTAGGAGCCGTAGCCGCTGTCGCTCTCGCTGTGCAGGCTCAGCTTGTCCGCGTGCTCCCCGCCGCCGCCTCCCGCGGCGCACTCAGCCTCCGAGCCCGCCGCCGGCCCGGGCCCCGCCGCCCCCGCGGTTGCCGCCGCCGCTGGGGCTCGGGGCTGCAGCAAGGCGGGCAGGTGCTGCTCGCGCTCGGGCGTCTGCACGGCGATGGTGCGGGCGCAGGGCAGACAGACGTTGTGGGAGCAGGGCAGGATGATGGGCTCCCGGAACAGCGAGCCGCACACCGGGCACTTCAGCTCCTCTTCCATGGCCGGGTCCGCCGGGTCAGCAGACAGGCCCGCCGAGGCGGGGCACGGGGCGAGGACGGGGCTCGCTGCCGCCTTCCCTTCCCATGCCCCAGGGTGGCCCCCGGCGCTCCGGCTCAGCACCCCGGGGGAGGGACAGCGCCTGGCTGGGCGGAGGCGGCGGAGCTCCGCAAGCCAGGCTGCACACAGAGCCGCCCCTCTGGCTGCCGCTGCGGAGCGGCGCGCTCCCGGCGGGGCTGGACAGCTCCCGAGGGGCTGACCTCGGCAGGAGGCGCTGGCGGTGCAGCGACAGGAGGCTATTGTTTATTGCAAGGCAATTTCCTCGCCCTTGGTGTGTGTGCAGCGCGCGGAGCGGAGCTGGCTGGGTTCCCACTGCATCGAGTAGTACACGGGGGCGGGGGAGGGAGAGGAGGGACAAAGGGCGGGAGCGGTCTGAGCAGCAAATAAGGGACGGCTCGCTGGCTGGCCGAGACTGGAGACAGCGATTCTTTCAAAGGGGCTGTGCTGGGATGGCTTTATAGGTTTAAAAAATCCATTATTAATAGAGAGGATTAAACATTGAGGGCGGGGGGGGGAGCGCCTTCTATCCCGAATAGCTTCCCCGCCCCCAAACGGACGAGACTGAGAAAAGGAGGAAGCTTGAAAGCGAATAACAAAACGAATAATATGTTTCCTTCGATACATTTCTTATCATGCTCCAACCCAAATGCGAACCACCAAACGTTCAGGCATTGTTAGAGAGAATAATGCAAAGGGGGAGGGGGGCTATTATAGGCACGAATCTTGGTTGGCTGCTCCATGCACAGGCAGTGAGAGTGGGAATCATGAGTAAAGAAATGCACCAGAGCTAGTAGCAATGTAACCCAAACCGAAATTTGCTGAGAAAATAAATGAGAGATGACAGCTGAGAGTTTTGTGAATTGAAAATAACCATCATTATAAGAAAGAAACCAGTGGTGGGAAATCCCCCATCTGTTTTGTTTGCGCTCCATATGTTTAGAGTAGTTTATTAACAGAATGAAGAGATTATAAATAGAAATGATTTCACTACTTTGGGTAGATTATACGGTTTTGTGAGTCCCATCATTATTTACTAGATAGTTTGTTTAAAAGTCACATTCATATTAAATTCCATCCCACCAGCAGACTTCTTGTTTTTGTATTTAAATGTTTGTGGGTTGTTTTAAAAGAGAAGGTTACTTACCCTGTGCAGTAACTGAGGTTTATTTGATATATGTGTCCCTGTGGGTGCTCCACTTCAGGTGTTGGTGCATCCCAATGCCGTTGATCGGATATCTTTGGTAGCAGTGCCTGGTCGGGTGTCTCACGGCAGTATTGGAGTCTTTGGCGTGTGTGCGTTCCGATCCCCTCAGTACCGTCTCCACCATAGAGTCCTTTAAGTCGAACTCCAGAGTAGAGGGGAGGAGGGTGGGTAGTGGAGCACCCACAGGGAAACACATCTCGAAGAACCTCAGTTACTGCACAGGGTGAGTAACCTCTACTTCTTCAAGTGGTGTCCTTGGGTGCTCCACTTCAGCTGAATGTATAGCAGTATCCGCTATGGTTGGGGGGACTTTAGAGTTGTGGGTTGGGCAGTGGCAGACAGTACTGTATGACCTACTATAATGTCCGCTCTGGCCTCTTGTGTGATGGTGTAGTGTTTGGCAAATGTATGGTCTAGCAGCTTTCCATATGTCAATAATGGGTACATTGTGTAGGAACGCTACCGATGTTGACATAGCTCAAGTGGAATGAGTTCTGATGCCATCAGGAGGTTCAACATTGTGGATCTGGTAGCAGGACCTAATACAGTTGGAGATCCACTTGGAGAGCGCTGTTGTGAAATAGCAGCTCCTTTGGAGCGTTTTGCAGTAAATATGAAGAGTCTAGGGGTGTTTTACTAAATGATTTTGTTCTGTCCAAGTAGAAGGTAATCACCCTTCTAACAGCGAGGGTATGAAGTGCCGCTTTCTGTGGGTTTTTGTGGGGTTTGGGGTAAAAAGTAGGAAAGTGTATCGTTTGGTTAAGATGCAAAGAGGACACCACCTTTAGCAGAAATTTAGGGTGGGGTTGCATCATGATCTTGTCCTTAAAGAAATTAGTGTACAGGGGGTTGGCCATCAGTGCACTTATTTCCCTGCCCCATCTGGCTGACATGATGGCCACGAGGAATGCAACCTTCATGGACATGTGGAGTAAGGAGGAGGTGGCTATTGGTTCAAAGGGAGGTCTCATGAGGCCTCAAAGGATGAGATTCAAATTCCAGGTTGGTGTGTGTGTGTGGGGGGGGTGGACTTCAGGGTAGAGGTTTTGGAGTCCGGTAGGGAAGCATTTTGTATTAGGGTTTGTGAAGACAGAGGAGCCATCCAGTTTCTCGTGGAAGGCGTTGATTGCCACGAGATGAACTCTGATGGAGCTGAGCGATAGATTTTTGTTTTTGAGTTCTAAAATGTAGTCTAGGATATCGGGAAGGGGTGTGGTGCAGGGTGTAAGGGTTTTCTGTAAGCACCACATGGAGAATCATTTCCACTTTTGGAGGTAAGTATTGCAGGTGGAGTCGCATCTACTGTGTAATAACACATGTCTGACTTGCTCCGAACTGGCTAGTTCGTGCAATTGGAAACTAGGAGGAGCCAGGCTGTCAGGTGAAGTTTCTCCAGTTGTGGATGGAGGATGCAACTGTCGCTCTGGGAGAGTAGGTCTGGTCTCATTGGGAGAATTCTCGGAGGGGAGATCGACATGTGAAGCAGGTAAGGATCATAGGCGTGCGCACAGGGTGTGCCGGGTGTGCCGAGGCACACCCTAATGCAGGGCAGTCAGAGCTGTGGGAGGCGGGGCTGCATGCTCCCGCGGGGCAGCATGTAGGACTCCATGCTGAGCCAGACGCTGCTAGGAGTCTGAGCCTCATGGTTAGAGGGGCCGGGAGGTTGGACAAGGGGCGGGGGCAGTTGGGGGACAGGGAGCAGGGTGGGTTGGGCTGTGGCGTGGGGTGCTCTCACCTCGGGGGCAGCTCCCAGCGTCCCTGCATGCAAGGGAGAGTCGACGCAGGGCAACTCTGCACGCTGCTTCCCTCCCCCCTGCCAGAGCTGACCCGGTTCCCAGCCCATTGGCCAGGAACCCCAGCCAATGGGAGTTGTGGGGGGGGGGCGGTGCCAGAGCTGCCTGACCACGCCTCCCCAGCAGGGAGGGGGAGGGAACTACTCCAGCTCGTCTTGCTCAGCCCGCCACCTCCCAGGGCTGAGCCGCCTGGGACCAGTGCAGGGGCCGGGTCATCTCGGCCAGCATGGTGGGGAGGGCTCGTCTGGGCCCCAGGCAAGGGGGCTATGAGGGGGGCAGGCCCCCTACCACTCTGATTCCTCCACCAACCTCAGCTGTGATGCTGGCTCAGCCCAGGCAAGGCAAATAGCCCCCGCCCAGCAGGCCGGTGAGTGTGGCTGGGGGGCAGGCAGTCGGGGGCGCTGGGTCTCTGGGGATGGTGCTGGGCAGTGGGGGTCTGTGTGGGGTACTCCTGGGCCCCAGGGGGAATGAAAACAACCCAGGTCCCCCTCCTGCAGCGTTCTTTGGTTCCCTGCAGAAAGTGAAGGAGAAACAGGGGTGTGTGATTGGGAATGTTCATGGCATAGTTTGGGGGCATTACCCCCCAAATAGGGGTGGGGGGGGCACATGGGATGCAAGGTCACGCCACTGCCCACCCCCACCCCCATTTCTGTGAACACAGAGTTGCTGCAGCCCCGCTGAAAAAATAAGGTGCTGCTCAGCTTCCTGGACTTTGCAGCTGGACACCACCTTCTGGGTCCTAATGCGGGTTGAGCTCCCTTCTGTGTGCTGGGAGCCATCCTTCATTTTGTACAACAGTGAGTTGTGGGGCAGGGCAGGGCAGGGGAAAAGAGGCAGGGGGAAAGAAGGTGGTGGGATGGGGAGGAGATGGAGCGGTGAAAAAGAGGCATGGGATGGGGAAGAGAAGAGGATAGGGGATGCGGGGGCAGGGGGAAAGAGGCAGTTTGGGAAGGATGGGGGTGGGATGAGGAGGAGATGGAGTGGTGGGGAAGGGGCATGGGATGGGGAAGAGAAGGGAATAGGGGAAGTGGGGGCCCAGCATTCAGATCCCCTTGGCAGCAGCTGGGGCTCCCCCGTTTAGCAGGCCCATCAAACCCTCACTCTGACAAGCCCCACCTCCCCTGCATCTGCACCACCCTGATGAGTCCCCCCCGGCACCCTCCCCAGAGAGTCC